ATGGTCAGGTGGTCTGAGCCCTTCTTTCTGAGTCCCAGAGCTTCCCCCAGGCAGACAGCACACCTGCCTCACCCCCCTGACCTCCCGCCTCTTTCTCTGTCCTGGCCAGTGGCAGCACCTGACCTGCTGGACCCTAAATCCGCTGCTCAGAACTCCAAACCCAGGCTGTCGTTTTCCACCAAGCCCACTGTGCTTGCTGCCCGAGCGGAGAGCGACACGGCCATTAATGTTATGAAATGGAAGACGGTCTCCACGATCTTCCTGGTGGTGGTGGTCTACCTGATCATCGGGGCCACCGTGTTCAAAGCCTTGGAACAGCCGCACGAGACCTCTCAGAGGAGCACCATCGTGATCCAGAAGCAGACCTTCGTCGCCCAGCACGCCTGCGTCAACTCCACTGAGCTGGACGAGCTCATCCAGGTGGGAGCCACTTCCCGCGCCGGGAAAGACTCAGGGTTGGGGTGCAGCGCCTGGCACGGCTGATGGGGGTGCCGGTGGTCCCACTGGCCTCCTCTCCAGGGTGCCAGTGCCTCCAGCGTCTCCTTCCCGCCACACCTGCCATCTCTCTCCTCCTCCATTTCTCTCCTGCTCTCCCTGTGTTTCCTCTGCTGCGCCCTGCTGGATTTCTGCACTCTGTCTGCCTTCTTTGCCTTCGCTCTATGTCAGGACTGCCAGGGTGCTCAGGCTTCCTGCCGGGCCTGAGGGCAGGTGCCTGTAGGTGACCGAGACACTTTGCGGTGCCCAGGGACCCGGGAGCGTGCGGCCCCTCCCAGGCAGGAGCCTTATGGTTGGCTGCTTTGTGGAGCCAGAGGAGGCTCCCCACAACTGCCTTTGTCGCTGAGGACGTTGCTTCTCCAACCCCCCACTCAAAGCAGTCTGCTAGGACACAGGAAAATGGAATTAAAAAAAATTTATTGATGCATGCAGAACTGGGGTACAGGCCAGAGGTGCAGGGGCAGTGAGAGGCTTCACCAGGGACAGAGTGGGGAGCAGAGCAGGCCGACGGAGGAAGTCCACTGCTGAGGGGAGCAGCGGGGAGACGGGAGGGGTCTGCCGCGTCCTGGGGGTCACCCCTGGGGCGGGGATCGAACTCTTGCCGAAGTGGCTTTAGCTTCTCCGTGCTGATCTTTAACCCGCTGCACCACCAGGGAGGGCCCCCAGGAAAATGGAGTTTTTGACTAAGAACGCATTGAGCTTTAATTTACTCTGTCATAGCCGAATAATATCCCAGTGGGGGACAAACCTCGTTTTGTTTCAAGCGTCCACCCCACAAAGACTGTCAGGTCTCAGTTAGGCTCCTTTAAGGGCTGCGTTGGTGGGACATTTCACTGGGCTGAAACAGTTTGTTGGTCCAGTCAAGATTCTTGGTCACGATTGTGCCCAGGCCTTTGCTCTCTTTTTCCTTCTTGCCACGGATTCCCTGAGGACCCTCCTGCCCCGAGCCACCTACCCAGAGGTCTGAGTCCAGCCTGAGACCATCAGGCTGGCCCCACAAGCTCTAGCAGCCTACAGACACCGCTGCGTCTCACCTGTCTGACTGGACGCTCGGAGGCTCTCCGTGGAGATGGCCCGTCTGGCCCAGACCTGCACACAGCAGCACATTGCACGATGGCGCGTCACCCCCGGGCCGTGAAGGGTCCGTTTATTCTGTACCGTAGTGCCCTCAGGGTGCATCAAAATCCAGTTTAAAAAGACCTGACTGCTGGAAGGCACTGGGTGTCCCCAGCCCCCACTTTCACTGGGCTGAGGCAATCTGATTTAGGTGAGTTTGCATCGTGTCGCCTGAGGTGAAGTGGTTGGTCTTGGGCAGGGCAGGAGATGCCTGGGATTTTGGACCAGTGTGGGGGATCATCCCAAGTGCTTTGAAAATGAGCCTGAACTTCAGAGCAGGGGAGACCTGGAACCTGGCTTGTGATACGTTATTTCTGGAGACACAGTGCTCAAGACCCCCTCTAAGGCTCCTTGCACCTTTTTTCCTCAGACTCCTGCACTTTTTTCCTCAGACTCCTGCAGCGTGTTACCTTGATTGGTATTTACCGCCACAGGGGTAAACCTTATGTATTTTTGTGCGTATTCGGTGTTTCTTTGTTCCACTGCAGAGGTTGCCCGTTTTATCACTTCCCTCTGTTACTTGGCAATTTTAATCAGTTTTTTTTTCTCTTGGAATATAACTGCGGGTTAAAGCAGCCTTTGTAATGGCAAAGACGCAGAGCAGAGCTGAGGTCCAGAGGTGGGCAAACGGCCCAGTGACCACTTGCTAGAGTCCTTCGCCGTCCACGTGGACGAGTATTGCCTGTGATTCTCCTGGATGTCCCCTGGCTTCCCTGGTGCTTTGAGCGTCTTGATTTCCAGCGCCCGTGTAGGTGCGCTGTCAGGTCAGGGAAAGAGGTGGGAGCACTTTGCAGCCTAATGCACACCGCTGACAGGAACCAGTGTTTAATGAGCACCTACTATCGCCAAGGGCGTGTTCTGGATCCTCACACCTGTTACCACACCTGTTACCTCTCCCACACTCCAATAGGTAAGCGCCTCTTCCCTGCACTCAGTGGAAACTGAGGTGGGGGGTGGGAGCACTTTGCAGCCTAATGCACACCGCTGACAGGAACCAGTGTTTAATGAGCACCTACTATCGCCAAGGGCGTGTTCTGGATCCTCACA